TCGACCGAAGGCGCTGTCGAACCGGCTCCAGGTAAAATCCGATTGCGCGGCCCCTACTTCACTCCAGAAGTTTTGCAAGAGCGATCGGGTGAGCTGGAGGAACCTGGGTCCGAGTTCAGAAAACCGAAGTTTAAGGGTGAAGACGCCTCCAACAGCCCTGAGGTTCCAACTACGACTCGCTGCCGGATCTTGGCTTCATCGTGGCTGGGCACGCCTCCTGGCTTCCTTTGGCTTCTGTGGATCCTCGGGGTTTTCAAGGGTTAAGGGTTTTAAGGGTTTAGGGTTTGGGGTTTTGGGTTGAGTTGCTGATGTTTGGAGGCGTAGTTTTCCACAAGCCCAAACACCGCGCCTGAGCCTCACAAGTGGCACGAAGGTCATGAACCTGAAGCCGGCGGAGTACGTGGACAACAGTGGCGGGTCCTGCGCAGTCTCACTGATGAGCCACTTGGGTTAGACAGCTGGATTATAGGGTCTGAATTAGGGTTTAGGGTTTAGGGCTGACCGAGACCTTGATGTGTCAGGGCCCCTTGGGTGCATGGCGCGACAATGTGAGGGGGAGAGGGTGGTCCAATGCCCGGCTGGACAATTCTGCGCTCAACCTTCCGCACTAAACTCTAAACCCGAAACCCTAAACCCTAAACCCTAAACCCTAAACCCTAAACCCTAAACCCTAAACCCTAAACCCTAAACCCTAAACCCTAAGCCCTAAACCCTAAACCCTAAGCCCTATAAGCCTAAGCCCTATAAGCCCTAAATCCTAAATCCCAAACCCCGAGTTCAGGATGCCCTTACGTTGCACGTGGAGTGTTGTCAGCGCTCTGAGGCTTGGACGTCCCTCCCCCGAACGGGCCGCTCTTCATCTTTGGCGACCCGTTCCTCAGGAAGCTGCTTGCAGATTTTATTTCGGCTGGTTCCTAGTAGGGAATGAGGGAATGAGAGCCCCACATACTCCCCTCCTATACTCCATTAAAGTAAGGGTGTATGTAGGGTTCTGCTTCCCTGCATTCCCTACTAAGAACCAGAGTGCTATTCGAAACGTAGCCCCCTGCAGCATCCGAAAGCCTCCCTCTGGACATTTGAGGGTGGAAAGTGCCTTGGCTCCTGCGCGGCTGCTAGAGAGCCCCAGTGCTGCTTCCCTAGCCATGTCCGGTGGCTACTCCACGAGTGATGCCAGCGCCGCCCCGATGGAGTTCGGCTACTGGAAGATCCGGGGCCTGGGGGCCGTCTTCCGCATGATCTTCGAGTATAAGGAGGCCAAGTATGAGGACAAGACCTACGAGACAGGCACGGACTGGTTCAAAGACCGCAAGCCCGCCATTTTGGAGATGAATCCTTTGGCAAATCTCCCCTACTTGGTAGATGGCGACAAATGCATCTGCCAGACGAACGCCATTCTCTACTACTTGGGCCAGAAGTTTGGCCTCAACGGGAGCACCGAAGCCCAGAAGCTTCGCACAGAGGAGCTCCTGTGTGAGATTTACGATGTGCGCAATGGCATGATCGACCTTGTCTACCCGTTCAAGAACGTGTGCCGCGACGAGGCGGAGTTCAAGACAAAGGCGGAGAGCATCACGGGCTCGCCCCCGTTCGCCAAGTTTGAGGCCATTCTTGGCTTCAAGGACAATGTCTCCGGTGGCAAGTGGTTCGTGCTTGCAGATGGCCCAGGCGTGGCAGATTTCCACATCTGGGAGATGCTGGACCAGCACAAGATGCTTGCTGAGAAGATCGGTGCCCCACCAGTTCTGGAGAAGTTCCCCAAGTGCAAGGCTTTCTACGAGGCCTTCAGGGCTTTGCCCACCCTCCAGAAATACTTTGCTTCTGACGCCTACAAGTTCGATGTGAACAACAAGATTGCGAACGCCTACTTCGCGTGAGAGCCCGCGGCTTTGGCCATTGCTTTTCGCCCCGCCTTGCCTTCAAGGCATGGACTTGGCGGCCAGTTTTATCACAGACTTTCCGTAAGACGCAGTCAGCTGGAGAAGCATGCTTGTGCGGCCTGGCAATGAGTTGTGTTCTCAAAATTCAGTGCTGTCGAGCGCACTGGGCCGAGTAGCTCGCATGTTGAGCGACATGGTGTTGATCTGTAGATCGCCGAGTTCAGACGAGGTGCATATCAACAGACAGATGCACCATACCATGTAGTTTCTCGGATACGGAATCTCTAGTTCGGATGAGCAGTAGGACGATGATCGTTCGTTGTTGTGGGTGTTCTTGTAGACTTGTGTTACCGCAGCATCTGCCGTAACAATCCTGCAGTCCATGCGTGGGTCGATGGATCGTTCCGTTCTTCTTGCTTTATGCGGGGGGCGATTGCTGATGTGCTTGGCTATTTGCTCTCGCGCTTTCATGGACGGGCTATGCCCGAAGAGCTGCAGCAAACGAACAGTGTAATCGTCGTCTTGAATGCTGCAGCCCTCTTCTGGCCCTTCTTGTAGGGCCACATAGCCGGGCCGAGCCTCGCCCCCATGGGAGTGCTGCTACTGGAAGAGAACCAGGCCCTGGGATCCATCTCCACATGATCTCCGAGCAAATCTCCCCTGCTTGGTAGATGGCGACAAGTGCATCTGCCAGACGAATGCCCGAATGCCCTTCTCTACTGCTTGGGCCAGAAGTTTGGCCTCAACGGGAGCACCGAAGCACAGAAGCTTCGCACAGAGGAGCTCCTGTGTGAGATTTACGATGTGCGCAATGGCATGATCGACCTTGTCTACCCGTTCAAGAACGTGTGCCGCGACGAGGCGGAGTTCAAGACAAAGGTGGAGAGCATCACGGGCTCGCCCCCGTTCGCCAAGTTTGAGGCCATTCTTGGCTTCAAGGACAATGTCTCCGGTGGCAAGTGGTTCGTGCTTGCAGATGGCCCAGGCGTAGCAGATGCCCATGCTTCCAGAAATTCTTTGCTTCTGACGCCTACAAGTTTGATGTGAACAACAAGATTGCGAACGCCTACTTCGGGTGAGAGCCCGCGGCTTTGGCCATCGGTTTCACCTCCCATAAAGGGCCATTTTAAGGGATTATTGGGTATAATACCCCATCCTGGAAGCAAAACTCCGCGACTCGGCCATGACGGGCCCAGCGGCAAAACATGGCTGTCCCTGGTTGCTCAACCGTTTAGGGTTAGGGTGTAACACGGCGCGCAGGTTCCACGTGATGAAAATCATGCACGTCCACCCCGAAGTCCTTAGAGTCTTAAGATGTCTTAAGCTTCACGATGGCAACATATGCACGAAGTGGGGGATCTCCGAACATATGGTGCTTTAATGACCCGGTGAATTTGCGATGGTTTTCCACTTTCATCTGCCATGATGCCAGGTAAGGGCAATTTGGTGCACACGGATTATCACCCTAAACCCTAAACCCTACACCCTAAACCCTAAACCCTAAACCCTAAACCCTAAACCCATGCTCGCACCGCCTTGACGACCCTCACCGTTTTTGTCGGTTCTCGAGCCGCAGCTAAGGTTCTATTCCGCCTACGACCGCCACAACGAGAGGGTGGGCTTCGCCGTGGCACGGCATGTCGGCGTCCCTGATGAGAAGTCCGAGGCTGGTGGTTGAGAGTTGAGGGTTTGGGCAGAGAAAAAACAGGTCACGTGGCGACCGAATCCTAGGACCTTGTCCGGTATACCGCGGGTTTCAGGGTGTTTCTTGATGCGCGAGGAGGGGCTGAAAGAGTCTTCAGCCCAAAATCCCTGCCCTAAACCCGACCGCCGACAATGGCGTCTGTCGAGACAACGATGCTCTGTGTGGGTTCGGCCAACTACGCTGGGCCACAGCAAACCCAAAGCTTCCAATTCTCCGGGTTGTAACCGAGGTCCTACTTAGAGGTTCGTGGCACTTCTTAGCCAATCATAACTGTACTTACAACCATATTAGGGCACTTGAGGGGCTATAAGTACAGTTCCACTTGGTTAGTAAGCCCCATGAACCTCCAAGTAGGCCTACCACCCTGAATCCCCAACCGCAGTTCCGGGACAGGCGCTGCTGGTCTCCCTTAATGGCGCTGGTGAGGTGGGGAAGCTTGTTTCCGAGTTTTTGGAAGAACCCCTGCACCCCTAAACAAGCACTGTGTGCGAGCGTGAGGGCTATGGGTTTCCACAAGGCTTGTGAACCGGGCGCTGGCCGGAGTGATGCGATGCTATGCGGGTTTGAAAGGATGTAGGTTGCTGAAGTCAGGTAGTGCAGGCTTCAGAAGCTTTTGCCTGAACGCACCTTGTTTCGAACACGACATGGCCCTTGTTTGGAACAGGTCAGCCGAGGGGGCGGCTTCCTCGCACCCTCGAAGTGAGGGAGCAGCCAATGAGGTCGCACATGCGCTGCCGAGCTGAAGAACATCTGAAGCAAGAGTCGATTTGTTCAAGTTGTTCTCGTGGGTCATGCACCGGGGTTCCTACTTCTTCCCGGAAGCCTCGGGCGACTTGGAACGACTTGGAACGACTTGGAGCTGCGAAAAGCAAGAAAAATCGAGAGCTCTTTGCCGCGGGAATTCTGGAGGATGGGGAACTAATCAAAATGTCCCCGTCGTGACGATGAAACCATTAGCAGACCCCAAGTGTTGCGCTAGATTTGGAGCTGCAAGGGTTAGAGCGAGATGGCCGAAAGATGCATGTTTGAGGAAGCTGTTCAGTCTGTAGCTAGTTGAACCCTAAACCCTAAACCCTAAACCCCTTGCGCGCGCAGTGCGGGTGGCGAAACCCCTAAACCTTAAACCCTAGCTCTACGCTGCTCCCAGAGTCTCATATGCTTCCTTTGCGCATCACGTCCGCTCCGTTGAAGGCCCCCAAACCCAAAATCCCAGAATAGACTCCAAGCCCCCGAAGCCCGGCCTGGCGCCCCGCAACCCGCAACCCTAAACCCTAAACCCTAAACCCTAAACCCTAAACTAGTGTTCCCAGAGGGGGTCTGCTAGGCGGGTGGCAAAAAACCCTAAACCCTAAACCCTAAACCCTAAACCCTAAACCCTAAACCCTCAACCCTAAACCCTTAACCCTAAACCGTCTCAGGTCGATCCGGGCGCTGATCGGCAAGTCCGGTGAGAATATAAAGGATCTCAGAGTCGGTCGCTGAGGTTTAGGGTTTAGGGTTTAGGGTTTAGGGTTTAGGTTGTGTGTGCGGGGTTCCAGAGTTGGGGGCTCGCGTTTTTTTTTGTTGTTCTTCTTTGGGTGTGTGGGTGTATAAGACGAGTGCCAGCAGCTTCCGAATTTTGCGGATATGGAGCTCAACTTCCCATGGGTTGAAGGCTTTTTTCTGTGGCCCTGAGCCTCTTGGTTGATGAAAGTCGCTATGCCAGCATGCGGCAAGAGTCTAAGTTAGCAGCCATCATTTAAGCAAGTCTCGGCCACGGTAGCAGGCATGCGGTGCCAGCGATACCGTCGCCCCCCCCCCCCCCCCCCAAAACTTGCTTGCTAAAAGCCCCGCCTTGCGCCGAGATGAACTCCGGCATGAAAATCCATGTGGAGGACTCGGGCATAGGGTTTAGGGTTTAGGGTTTAGGGTTTAGGGTTTAGGGTTTAGGATAGAGCTACCAGCAGTTTGTGCCTGGGCTTTCAGGGGCGATCATGTGTTTAGGCACTCTGGGGCTGACAAGGGGCATGCTCAAACTCCCTGCAGAGCAAGGCAGCGGCTGGGATCTGCCTAGGGTTTAGGGTTTGGGGTTTAGGGTTTAGGGTTTAGGGTTTAGGGTTTGGGGGGTTGGGTCTTCACTTCTTCGGGATGGATGCGACGTGAATCGGTTTAGGGTGGATTACGGCTTGTGTGATGAGAGCTCTTGTAAACCCTAAAGCCTACACCATAAACCCTAAACCTTAAACCCTAGACCCTAGACCCTAAACCCTACTTCTCGTCGCATTGCCGTTCGTGGCATGGCGAGCGCAGCTTTGCAAGCTTGGCTCTGCGCCACCCCTCTGGAAGCAGAGTTGGTGCACATGTTCGTCCCTTGCTGCAGAAATCATGGCTCAGCAAGGCGTAGGGCAACAAAAACCACAAGAGCTTTGAATCTCAAATGTCAGCGATGTTTAGGGTCTAGGGTTTAGGGTTTAGGCCCTAAACCCTAAACCCTAGACCCTAAACATCCCTGGCCCTCCCTGGGCGCGGAGTCCAGGAGATCGTGATTGGGGCGCAGGAGATGGCGGAGCAGGACCCAGGGTCCTGTGGATCGAGGATTTTCACCACTGGGGGGCTCCTTCTCACGGTTTGCGGCTATTTGCTCAAGAACCCCAAAAAGAATTAAAAATGCAATCATCCCCATATTACCCTTCATGAGGAAGAACATTTTTCATTTTTCGGGGCTTTTAGGCAATTCGTAGTTTTGCGGGGGTTGTACTGCGCTGCTTGGAGGTGCTTCGATTAGAAGGTTCCTTAAGGGAGGGGGGGTTAAAGTGGGGGGTATGTAACCCAAGGTCCCCCCAAGACTCCCCACCGCTCCCTAAGGCTCCCTAAGCTTCCTTAAGGTCGTTTAGGGAGCTACTCCCTGGATTTCTAAGCTTGCCCAGTCTGCCCCACCGCCCACCACACCTCCGCGCCGGTCATCGACAGTTCAATTCAGTGGTCTGAAATTTATAGACAAAGGAACTTCGGAGTTCCAACAGCTCGTTTTCGTGTTTTCGTCGTTGTCGTGCTTGCCGTCTTTCCCTCGCCTGGCAGGTCGTTTCCTGCGCAGGAAACATAGTTGGCCGCTCCCTTAACTGCATCCCGTACTGTCCAAGGTGTGAGGCGCAAGGTAGGGACAGAGGAACTGCATGTTGTGTTGCTGCTTCCGGACTTGCGTGCTGCGCTCAGGCCTGAATACCGTCGTGCCTGCGATAATCGAAAAGGCGAGGTGTTGCGGTTTAGGGTTTAGGGTTTAGGGTTTAGGGTTTAGGGTTTAGGGTTTAGGGTTTAGGGTTTGGGGTTTAGGGTTTAGGGTTTAGGGATTTCGGACAAGCCTCGAACCCCCCCGAAGATGGGAGGGCCCTACCGTTACCCTCACGAAACCTGAAGGCTCAGGATGGTTCCGGGCTTTGGGAGCCTGAACTCGGAGCCCGAACCTGGGGCAAAGAAGTTGGTGTTTAGGGTTTAGGGTTCAGGGTTTAGGGTTTAGGGTTCAGGGTTTAGGGTTTTGGGGTTGATGCTCCTCTTACAGAGGCCTCGCGTCTTGGCATGCATGCAAACTCCTCAGACTGGCGAGTCCTTTAGCCCAGTTGCAAAAGGGGTTTAGACTAGGCAAAGCCAGCCGGGCCCATCGAAACCCTAAACCCTAAACCCTAAACCCTAAACCCTAAACCCTAAACCCTAAACCCTAAACCCTAAACCTAAACCCTAAACCCTAAACACTAAACCCTAAACCCTAAACCCTAAACCCTAAACCCTAAACCCTAAACTCAAATCCCGCAATCGACCGCAAGCGTCAGCCTTCCCTGACGCCACGGCCACAGGTCAATGAAGCTGCAGTGCCACAGTGGGGGCCTTGAAGTTGTTTAGGATTTGCTGAGGGAGATCTGAGGTTTACCAACAACCCAAAATCAATCGACTCTTCCTCACCCTAAACCCTAAACCCTAGACCCTAAACCCGAAACCCTAAACCCTAAACCCTGAACCCTGAACCCTAAACCCTAAACCCTAAACACCCTGGGCCCAGCAGGGTGAGCCGCCGTAAAGGCCTCAGCCGCTTGCAGGCGCAGCGCGAGCCTAGACGTCCTGCAGACCACAAGGGGGGAGCCTGCGGATTTGTCAGCTGTTGGGCGACCGGTAAGTCTGTTGTATTGAAAATAGAGTTTTGGCAGCTTTTTGAAGCTGCCAAGAATGGACGATGCTCGGGGACCAGGGTGGGGGTTCCGGGTTGTGAGAGATGTTTCCAGGTTACAGACGCGCCCAACCCTGGCATCATCTGGCATCCTAAACCCTAAACCCTAGACCCTAGACCCTGGACCCTAGACCCTAGACCCTAGACCCTAGACCCTAGACCCTAGACCCTAAACCCTAAACCCTAAACCCTAAACCCTAACCTGCAACATGCCTTGGAAGCGCGCAATTTCTTGTGGCGCTGCTTTGGAAGCAACTCGGGGGTCTGCAGTTCGCAGCTTGCAACTTGGAACTCGCGGTGCCCCAAGGCACCCGTGGTACCACGTCTGCTCTTCCATTTCGTCTCTTCCTGTTTGCTTGTTTGTTTGTTTGTTCCTAAACCCTAAACCTAAACCCTCTAAAACCTAAACCCTCTAAAACCTAAACCCTAAACTCTACGAAGCCTAGTTCAGGGTTTAGGGTTTTGAGTCCTGAAACACATCGTCTCACAACTCCAAGCTCCAAGGCCCTGGTTCCAGCGATGGGCCTTTGACCCGAAGGCTTGTCGGGGCCCCGGGCAATGCTGGCAGTTGGATCACCACTATTTGCTTAAGAACCCCACCCCCCAAAATAAAATATACAAAAGAATATTATTCCTTCTAAGGGCGATATAGGGATTATGAGTTTATACTTTTTGGGTGGGGGTTCTTAAGCAAATAGTAGACCAGTTGGCCACCCTGGCTTCCACTGTTGAGCGATGAGGAAGCAGGGCTCAGCCGAGGTCCGAACGGCAATGCGAGCTATGCTTCTTACAGCAAGGGCAAGGCAAGGAGAGTGGTCTTGGCCAGTGGAGGGTTTAGGGTTTAGGGTTTAGGGTTTAGGGTTTAGGGTTTAGGGTTTAGGGTTTAGGGTTTAGGGTTTAGGGTTTAGGGTTTAGGGTTTAGGGTTTAGTTCGCTTCTAAGGGCCCCACGTTCTTTCCAAGCTTCAGGTCATGAAAGGCCAGGGTCAGCAGGTGCTTCTAGCAGCTAGCAAGTTGAGGATGCTCTTTGACACAGGCTGTGCATCAAAGTTGTCTTTATTCACAGCGTGTGACATGACGTGACTGAACTAGACATCTTAGTCATCTTAGCCCGGGGGCCCCCTTGGCATCCGTGCCGTGTCAAGAAACCCCTTTGCCAGGGCAAAGACAGCTACGGCATGAGCGGTGGCTATGGTGGATATGGGGGAGGCATGGGTGGATATGGGGGGGGCGGCTACGGTGGTGGCATGAGCTATGGCGGAAAGGGCTATGCTGGCGGCAAGTCCTTCGGCGGCAAAGCTGGGAGCTATGGTAAGGGCTACAGTGGAGCCGGTGCCATCAGCACCTACGCCAGTGGCGGCGACGGACTCAGGGTGTTGGGGCCAGTAGTTCACATCTAGTTGCGTCTGGTGGAGTTTGCATGACAAGCAATGTGCTGCAGGTGAGGCTGCATGCTTGATGCCGTAGGAAGGGGAGTTGAGGCCACTGTGAGTGGGGCGATGCTCACAAGAGAAATGTTCTTTGACTTGTTTCATACCGGCAGCCCCCTTGAATGCTACTAGTACTAGATACAATTGTGCTGACATGGAATGACTACAGTGACTACACATGACGACCAGTTGTTACTGAATGTCACATTCAGCCTGGGTCACCCAGGCAAAGGCCAGAGCTTGGGCGGCAGCAAAGGCCAGACACCATAGGTTCCAAGCTTCGTACTTGTCCAGGGAGTCCGCCCCCTCCCTTCCAAAACATGTGGCCACGCCCGGGACGATTCCATGCCTTGCCTGGGTTTTGCAAGAACCATTGCCAAGCGGGGCAATGCCAAAAGCTGCACGGCTTAGACCTGACCTTATGAATTCTTGCAAAAGCAAGGGTTGAGAGGAGTATGGGGCTGACGATTGCATAGGGCAGCGTCTGGTTGGCCGCTTTGGACAGGGCCTTTGCAGAAGCTGAGGCAGTGATCCGTAATCAGGTCTGTGACAGGCGTCTCGGGTCCTGAGCCGAAAATTTAGAGTTTGTGGTGAAGGCACCCCGGGCCGAGTCAACTAACCTCTTGCAGAGGCTTCGCCACCTCGGCACACGTGGCCTGGGCCTTATGCGCGACGTAGGAAGCAGCCGGAGTCCTCCATGCCCAACCACACAGGACACTTAACACTACGTCCCGGTACTCTGCGCAACATGGATGAATCTCAGGCTTCTTCGACCTGTCAGACCTCACACTCTCAAAAGCGAGGAACCTATATAAGACCCTGAAAGCCTAAGGGTCGCCACTTAGAGAGCCTCGGGACAAGCCACCACCAAGAACAGCTGTTGTCACTCCCCGCCCTCCCCCAAACCTGCAGTTCTTCAACCTTGCAACTCTTTTCAGCCCTTCAGGGGGGCCTCATCTGTTCTGCGTGCTCTGTGTTGAGGCGAGTGTGGACATGCTGTCAGGCGTGCTGGGGTGTACGGGTCTTCCATTCAGTGAGCAATGCAGAGTAACCGCCAGAAGTGCAAAAAAGCAAAAAAAAGACACTTCTCGGGATGTTTCCCCTCATACGAACAGTCCTTAGTGGGGGTTAGAATAGGGGGTACTAGAATCCCCCTATTAGAACTGCTAGTATAAGGGGGAATATCCCGAGATACATCACAAGAGCTACATAGAAGAGAGAACCCTTTGAACGAGTTCCGCACCCATAGTGATCGCGTGGCTACCATTGGTAAAGCGGACACTTCCTTTGGCCTTTCGTAGCCTCTCAGAGGACCAGAATCGACCCCCAAATAGTTGGGGTTTAGGGTTTAGGGTTTAGGACCCGATAAGGTACCCTTAATATCGGAACCCCCCCCCCCCCCCCATTTTGCACGCCTACTGTACCCGGTCCTTTCGCCGCAGCTGCTGTGTCGGCAGTCCCCGACAAGCTGGCAGACGCAGCAGCCCGCGCCTCGGGAAACGGCCTTACTTGCAGGTTCATGGTACTTAGTAACCCATATCCCGATTAAGGTACTTAAGCGGCTTATATGTGGGTTATAACTACACTTTGCATTGGGTTATGAGTACCCTGAACCTCCAAGCAGTGCCTCTTGGGATGTTAGTTTGCTTGGGCACTGCTCGGGGGAGGCTACAGTCTGTGGGCGGCAACCTAAGCATTTTCCGTGTCAGGGTTAGGCAGCATGCAACAATGACACCGATGCTGGATACTGTCGCTGGGCCAAGACACTGATTCATGATAGTTATCCGATGGACCTTGCAGGGGGAAGCCTGAACAAGAACGAATCGTGACAAGCTTGCATCGTGCACGTGCCACACTTCAATCGTGGGGGGATGTGCGATTCTTCGCTTAGTTCTAGCTTTGGGCATTGCCGCGAAGCCGCTTAGCATCGTGCTTTTTTCGCGCCAAGCGACCCCTTGTACAGGCGCTTAAGAGTGCTGCTTGAGAGCCGTGCCTCTTCTTCTCTTGTGGCCTAAAGTGCAAAAGACGGGCAGCGCATGCGACTGCCAGCTATGCTGCAACTCTTTTCCCGCGTTGCGACGGGTATGGGTTTCTTGATCAGTACTGCCGCGGCCAGAGCGGCCATCGCGCATCGTTGTCGATAAGCATTACTTACAGTCAGGTCGTTGTAAGAAATTTACAAAGCAGGACGTCGACATGATGAATTTGCAGAAGTTCCGTGATCACCATGAAAGCATTTTTTCTCGGCGTTTGCTTAAATGCACAGTGACGGGCCTGCGCATAATATCATAAGTTTCGTGAAAGGGAAGAACTTACGTGAACGATTCGGCGATGAGGACTGCGTAACAACTCCCAAGAACTGAGACTCAAGCCTGCCCAGCGTTGCCAAGGACAGATCTCAGAGTCTTCAGTTGTCCTGCCCGTCCCACCTTGCATGGGGCTCAGACTTCAGCTGGGTCTTAGCCAGTAGGAGAGAAGCCCTGAGTCCCCCCGGTCCGAACACCTAGTTGGCTCCTTGAAAATGGGGTGTGCGCGCTGAACATGTTTATCGTTTCCGGGACTCAAGCCATCTTCTTCGCCTGCGCTGCATCTTGTACTTGGACCACGGCCCCCGGAAAACGCAACAGAAACTGCGAAACCTGCAGCCATGAGATTGCCTCTTGCATCCTTTGCGCTTCTTCCCGCCCTTCCCCCGCCTGAATCTCTTGAGAAGGGTGGACACATGCCGGGAAAGGGCCGGAATGCCATGACTGACAAGAAGTCATCATGTCCTGCCGTACAACGAACGTAGGCTCACACTCGCGAGGTTTTCTGTCGCCATACTTGGAGGTTCATGGTACTTCTTAACCCAATGAAGCCTGTACTTATAACCCAAGTATAACCCTGTTAGGGTACTCAAAGGGGCTTATTAGTGGGTTAAAGCTACACAAAAAGTTGGGTTATAAGTACCCTGAACCTCCAAGTAAAGCCTTAGCACAGGATCCCTTTAGGGTTTAGGGTTTAGGGTTTAGGGTTTAGGGTTTAGGGTTTAGGGTTTAGGGTTTAGGTTTAGCTTGGGTGGTGATGCGTAGCCAACCGCACGGGCAACCATTGTGGAGGTCGCCGGCGTGGTCGGCAAGAACGGCACGGGGCTACAAGAAATTGGAGGTCCCGGTTCCCGAAACCCTAAACCCTAAACCCTAAACCCTAAACCCTAAACCCTGAACCCTAAACCCTAAACCCTAAACCCTAAACCCTAAACCCTGAACCCTAATCCCCACACCCCAAACCCCAAACCCTAAACCCTAAACCGCAAGGGGGCTAGGAAGTGCCCATCCCGAGACCCAAAGCCCAAGCCCTTCCAGCTGCGACGGGGACGGAGCTCGACGTACGGGACACGATGGATGCATCCGAGAAAGCTGCGGCGACCTCGGAACTCCTTTTTGGAAGAGCGATGAGAGACTCACTACTGTACGATTTGCTGAAGAACCTCCCTTCCCCCCAAATAAGAACAATCCCTATTTTGCCCTTATAACGAATAGCCGATTTTCATTTTCTGGGGGGTTCTTAAGCAAAAAAGCAGGAGATGAGTGAGATGAGTGAATCCTTGCGGTCTCTTTATCTCGTATCGTTCTTTGGCAACACATCGGGCGCCCAGTCACATTGGGGGAAGCTGCAGTGCTCAGGGCATACCTGATGATGTAGCCAAGTTGGGTTCGTGTTGTTTGGACAGCACGCACATGGCGTTTGGCCGTGCATGGCATGTGGGCAGTGCCAGTAACAATGCTGTAACAATCGTGAATTCAGACGGTGACGCTGGGGGAGTCTAGGGCAGTTACCGGCTCAGTTGGTTTTGCGGCGCCTACTTGGTGACTCGCGCGGTGACATACGTTTAGAATGCGGTTATTGAAGACGGTCTAGGAACGATCTACTTCCTGGTGTAATCCCGCAGTGGCGGAGCCACAGGACAGCTGAGCGGACTTGCAGGGTCTCCTCAAGACTTGTGAGCCCAGGCAGAGTCAAAGGGTGTGTAGGGTTTAGGGTTTAGGGTTTAGGGTTTAGGGTTTAGGGTTTAGGGTTTAGGGTTTAGGATGTAGGGTTTAGGGCTTAGGGCAGTGTTTGAGGGCTGCAGACCGATCCCGGCTAAGATCGTCGTCAGTGGCGGCGCGATCGGCTGTGTCTCTGTCCGGCTCCTGGGTGGCCGCATGCATGCACATGTACCACGCCTGGGGTTTAGGGTTTAGGGTTTAGGGTTTTAGGGTTTTAGGGTTTTAGGGTTTTAGGGTTTAGGGTTTAGGGTTTGGGGGTTTTGTGCCTCGCGCCTGTGTGTCAGCATACTGGATGTAAAAGGGTTTTAGGGTTTTAGGGTGTAGGGTTCAGGGTTTAGGGGCTTCTCTGGATAGATCGAAATCTAAGTAAGACGTACCAACGATCCCAGATATGGTAGACTTTCGATAGGCCAGAGTGCAGATGGGAACCGCTGAGTCGAACCGCGAAGCCCGATTTTTCTTGCTATTGAAGCTGTGCCGGGTGTTGGAGAAGGCACACCTTCCCAGAGGCCTTTCAGACCATAGCTAGGCCACAGCCCAACTTTGCTCCTTGCTTGACCCTAAACCCTAAACCTTAAACCCTAAACCCTAAACCCTAAACCCTAAACCCTTTAAAAGTATCTCGGCTCGACTCGGGGAGCTCTTTGAATCCCTGGACTCCTGGCAAACAGCAATGGCGCACTTTGCTGGGCGGGTCGTGCTTGCTTGTCTTGCGGTGGCTGTGGCAGACCCCCGGCCCTGCTGCCAGACCTGCGAGTTGCCGAAGGTGAAGGTCTTCAGCACGGATGCAAGGCATGGCTTTTGTGGGGAGGCCTGCATGGATCCCAAGAACTTCGGCTTGTTCCACAAGTTTGAGGCCAACTTGACTGTGGCCACGGATGAGCACCCGTGCAGTGAGCAGTGGACTCCGCTCAATGATAAGGAGTACACCGACTACTTCGACACGGTCACCCATGGCTTCGGCCCTCTCTCCGTCACCTTGGACTTGTATGCCCCCACCAACATGCCCAAGCATACGTGCTGCTACGCACCAATGGTGCCGCAGATGGGATGCATGGGCATTCTTGGGAAGCCCACGCCAGTCCTCATCGATGGGACCGGTCCCTTCTGCTGCCCCAAGAATGCCACCGCAGAGCAGCCCTGTGGCAATGAGAGCCGACCAGTGGATTCTCCGGAAGTCATCGTCTAGGCACCTTTAAGGGGTGGCCACCGGCTTGGAATGCTTGATTGGAGCTCCAAGCTGGCGTTAGGACGCAACGATCAAGATTGCTCGCCATCGTCTTGCGACAAGCGGAAAATCGATGAGCTCTTGCATGCTCTAGACTCCTGGCGTGCAGACTCGTAGACATCGTCCAGCAACTTGCGGTGATACTTCGGGGACATGCAGCTCACAGGGAAGAGTGTTGATACCCATCTTACTAGTAGCTTGGTGTGGTTCTTTGTTCACCAAACCGACAGCCCAGCTTAGTGGGTGGCAAAATTGTACTGACGTGTCCTGACATTCGTCAAGCTTCACTTCACGCTCTTTTGACGACGAGTCCCAAAACCACCGTGTAAACGCATGTTTCGCAGAGGGGGGGTGGCGGGGAGAAATCCGACCCCCACCCCAAAACAAGGCAATGCACCTCAAGCCGAAGCAAAGTGCGTGCCCTTTGCACAGAGTTTAGGCTTCAAGCTCTCAAGGCCCTCCCCACAAGGTCCATAATTCGAGGCTGACCACCAACCACCCCAAAAAAAGCCAGAAGACGGACGCAGCTGAATTGCCAAAGCTCTGAACGGCGTGAACATCTGTAGGCCTGAGCCCCTGAAGACCCGAACCTGTGCATTCCCAGAGCCCTCATGCACAACTCGAAATTCGCCCTGCCCCTTTTTAAGTTTTGTCAAGTCCAAGCACCAACCTAAACAACCAGAACAACCCCCACCCCCCCCCCCCCCCCTCCCCAAAAGAAAATGAAGAATACACAAACACAGACAAACCGTGCCTTGATTACATCACAACTAGGCAGGGGGATGCTTGGCGGGAAACATCCTAGGATCTCTATGTGGGTGCCAAACACCCGGGGAACGCTGAACGCCAACGCACACCCACATAAGGATCCCACCACAGTAATGTTCAGGATTGCGCAGCTGGTGTCCTGCGGCTCTGGTGCCCCAAGAGCCGACCGTTAAACTCCGGGCTCTCGAGACTGCTGCTCCCTCTCCTGCGGCGGTAGGAAAGCACCTATTCCAGCTAGTTGGTACAGTTGCGGCAAGTGGGCCTGCAGAGAACGTCCTGGATACCTGCAAGATCTTTATGTGGAAGTGTCCTGACCTGTCCAATTTCTTCCTTAATTTACGGAATGGCACAGGGTTTGAAGTGCACGCTCCCAAAAGGCACAGCAATCGAGGCCAATGCAATTTCTGTAAATAAACAATCTCAAAAGACACCTGTCAGATGCGCAAGCAGTCTGCGGGTTCGCCTGCTTTAGCCCTGAGCGTCGAAGTAGGAAGCAGGATGGAGGCGCAGGCCGACAGCAGGTTACCACTTTCTCGTTTTAGCTCTTGCACGCGTCGTCCTGATCTGTCCTACGCGTACTGAACGCACTCATGTGAGCTCTGCAGAAGCCGGCCCGCGGGACCCTAAAGCCCTACTGGTAGCACTCATGCCACACACAGCGTGACCACGTGAGCCCCCCCAGTAGTCCCACACAGTCAGCCCACACTCCCTCACTCTCTCAGTCCTTCACTCCTTCACTCCCTCACTCCCTCATTCCCTCTCTCTCTCTCACTCCC